TTGCTGCAAGGATACTCGCTGGAGAACTTTATTGAAGAAACGATGTCGAATTATTGGGGCAAACGTCTCTCACTGCTCATGCATTCCCCGGCGCGTGGTTCCGTCAAGGCAGTGTCGCTTAAGCGTTTGCTGCTCCGACACGAGCTTCTGCCGCCACTTAAGTACCTGTGCCGTGTGGTCATTCGTAACTGTATTGTTGACCGGAATCAACTCGCATCGCTGCCATTACCCAAAAAGATCATTGAGTATTTGGATGATCCACGGTATCTTGTTCCACCCTCTGTGCGGTTATGAGTTCTTCCCTTTCCCCAACGGACGGCTCGAAACGATATCAGCGCATATTCGTGCTTTTTCCACTCACTATTGCATTAGAATCTTTGTGATTTTTTGAAAAAGAAAACTTTTTTGCCAAAAAATTTCTTTCAAAATGTGAGCATTATCGGTAGGTACTATTGATGAGTGCGATTATTATTGCTGCCAAATGTTGAGATGCATTGCTTGGGAGGCACAGGCACTTGCGAGTGAGTCAACTCTTTCTCTGTTGTTGTTTTAACTGACTTCACTTATCTTCTGCACTTCTTTTGCCGTTGCTTTTTGTATTGACAATCATAATTCAACGTTAGGTCGGTTTTTGGGTCGAAATGCGAGGGTAGTCTCTTGCGAGGAGTACTGTGAAGACCATTTTTTTTTTTCACGAGTTTTTCTAGATAAGCTTACGCAGAGCAAAATACTGCCGATTTGAAGAAGGGGATTGCAATATATAAGGGATCAGTCTAAAATATTATTTGCAGCGGATGCTTGTTATAAGAGAAGCAGACTGTGTTTCATCCCTTAGATGTAAGCGCAAACCGAACGCAACGTGCGAGTAAGGGGTGGGAATCATCAGCATAGCTTCTGACTGACCATATATGTGATGAGCATGTGTCAGATCGAATAAGACAATAAAGTAATGAGAAGACAACAAAGAAGGCGAAAAAAACGGTAGGAGAAAATAGAGAAAAGAAAGGGTGGGTTTATTTCTGAACAACTAGCGATGCCACCAGATTTCTGATTTTGTCATCCTGAAGGAAAATCTCTTATATTGCAACCTCTCTCTCCTCTTATCTCCTTTTGTTTCATTTTTATCCATCGCGCCTCCGCCATTTGGGTTTCCAGGGTCAACCTGGTTGCTGCAGTCTGCTTAGTAATTGTTGTGAAAATTATAAAAAATACAAAGAGTGAATATTTTGGAAGAGAACGGTGACCTGAAATCCTCCATGTGTTAAAATATGCAGTTTGTTTGGCGTTATTGGCACACCGTGGAGAGGAACACAATGCAATTTTGACAACTGATGAAAAACTGGATGTGACATTAGGCATGTTTCTAATAATGCCTTATTCCTGAAGCAAAATCTAAAAACCGGCCGTTCTGTTCTTGATGTTGTCAGACTCTTCACGTTTGTACATATCTCGACTAACCATTTTGTCAGCACTTAAACCCGTCAATGAAAGTACAAATCCGTGCGTATTGGAGCAATTGGGATTTGCATAATCCCTTAATGGACAACATGGCCAATATCGCTTTCTAGATATAGCCCTGTTTCACAGTTTTCTCTCTGTACCCAGAATAAATTTCGCTGAAATTGGCAAGATTTGTTGTGTAAGTACATTGGCCATGTTACGTGAAGCTGGAAGTTTTTCCATGATCTGACTGATGTTCACGTGTTGTTTACGAGGAAAATTTCTGAATTCTTGCATTTGCTAATGATTCGTGCTTTCTGTAACGGATATTAACATCGCCTCTTATGTGTATATTCAAATCTAAAGTGGAATAAAATAAAGTTGTTAGATGATTATATCATCGGACCATTGTCAGCCTGTAGTCCGGTGCTGCTTCTTCGCTTTAGTTGCTTTTGGGGGAATTGGAACGGCAAAGAATTGACGTTAAACACGACAATTGTCACGAAAATATGATTCCTTTTCCTCGAATTCTCTTGAAAAGACCGTTCCTGGGGAGTTTTCGAGGAAGGAGGGGACAAGAAGGGAGGGCAAAGGGGAGGGGGAGTGTTTTGAGTTACTGCGGTGATAAAAGTTGGAAGGCAAAATCAGTCGGAACTAAGGCATTTGTAAAACTAGTACCAATGCAGATGTCGCTGTCGTGATTTTGCCCCATTTGTTCCGTCTGAAAACTTTTGAAAAGTATCTTTTTGATCAAGTGAGACGGGGAAGAGTCAAGGATCGGATTAAGCAAGGTTTGAGCGTTTGTATTCCCGGTACAGGAGGAACTTGCATTTCAAGAAAACAAGTAGTCCTGGCATCAGTAATAATAAATTATGGCCGTTAGAAGACTAAACCGTAATCTTAAGACAGATGGTCGGTCCAACTCTGGTGTCATAGAAAGTTATAATAAGAAGGAATGAAATAAAGAGAAAAGAGAAGGTGAGAAATGAAGATTAGAAAATTTGTGAGATTATTACAATGGTAAGAAGTAACTTTGATGTACGCATTATTGAAGTGTTTATTCAGGGTATATAACACAGACTTATGGTAGCCGTAAGGGTTGGATATCTGTGGGCCAAATGGTCGAGGGACACGTATGCTGAAGCTCATCGTACGAAGCTGTTCGATATTTGCTTTAAGTTCAGGCGCACTACCATCTGCCATCGCAATCGTTCGAGTGTCCGGTTCGTTATTTTTCACAGTTTCCAATTTTACCATGTAACCAGTTCATGGATGAAGGGTACTTATCCAAGGTTCAGCATTTCTTTCCCATTTCCAATGCATTTTCTGTACTTTTTCTTACTAGTAAAACAAGAGCAGTAACTTGAAATAGTTGAGTATCACGGTCTTGAATCTCTCCTGGGGAATGTTTTTTCTTGATTCTCCTATGGATAAGTATCCAAAGGCTCAGGACTGGGGCAGGTGGTCTACGCGAAACAGCTGGTCGCATCCGATGCCGATTGATTTAGTGATGATTAAGTTGCAGCGTTTTTTTTTTTTTTTTGCACGATCGATGGCCTAGAATGTTGACACTTTCCCTGATTTTAACTTTTGACTTACAGGAATTAGCTTTGCACTGAAATTATTACGATTTTACCGCATTTTTCCATCCTGATAACTTTAGTGTTATTTAGGCAAGGAAAAGTAACCGTTACTTCCACCTGAGTAAGCACTTCTTCAATTTGTTCAAAATTTTCACGTTCATATTTCTGCTTGTATAAATATTTGTTTTTTTTTTTTTTTTTTAAATAAACAGGGCGCGAAAGCCG